CTCCGGTTCTGTATTGTTGCATTTCGCGTAACACAAGAATATCGTTAAGAGTAAGAAGAAATGAAGTAATTTTTTGTACTTCATCTTCGAAGCTTTCTCTGTCTCGATGAACAACTTCTAAATCGCTTTGCATTTACTTTCGTGACAAAATTTATAGAAACGTTTTTCCCGGTTATAAAAAAACTGGCTTATCAATGACAACTACTTTCGTGGAACTTATTTAAAAATTATTTGTTTTCTACAATATAAATTACCAAATAATTTTTGGGTGTTGTAATTATTCCCGATGTTGAAGTGACTCGATTGTCTTTAAATTTTAAAAGAAAAATTATAATCATCGTTTTTATAATTACTAAAATATAATTGTTTATTTTACTATTCAAGGGCAAAGTGTTTGCCTGGCAAATTTAATGTTTGGAATTGCGTGACAATTGTAATTAAAGTAATTCCTATTCTGTATTATTCCAAAAGTTATTTGCAAAAAATAAATTATCGCAAAATGAAATAATTTTCTTTAGAAAATGCCCTTTTAGGCAAATATTTTACGCTAAATGCGTATTGAAATTAATATACACTATCTCTTTTCCTCTTAGAGATTGTTTGTGCAGATAGTAAAAACTTTGAATTAATTTAAATAAGCAGATTTAGGGTATGGCGAGAGTCAAACTATCAGCATAATGCCTGGTGCGTAAATTCAAATTTAACTTCCACAATTTATCAAAAGAAAAAATGTCGAGCATCGTCCTTTTCCCACTTATTTAAAGACTTCATTACCGATCACATATGCATTTGTTTTGATAAATGAGTATAAATCGTGTGACCGGAGGGAACAGATGTATACTTATTCATCAACACAAATGCTTATTTGATCGACGACCGATCGGATTCGGATGGAGACGAGTGAGCCAGCGTTGGAAGCAAGACACTCATATACCACGTTAATCAACCAAATACAAGTTTATTTTTCGTACTAGATTTACAGGCTAACAGTAACAAGACAATTAGACATTGGATTTGAGAGTGTTTTGGAGGCGTTCGCGAAAGAGAGAGTTTACATGAAATTGCGCCTTGTTATAAACACTATAAACACATCGAATCTATATGAATACCGAAAGAGTAAACAATAATATTTTAGTGAAAATGAATAAATAATATTAATTATATAAAAATAAATATTATAAATAAGTACAAAAACGTAATAATTGAGGAAATAGTTCCACAAATGAAAATATTATTTATTGTTAAAGTGTCTGAGATTTTAGAATTCGATAATAGTTGACGTAACAGGTTCCAAAGCAGATTATTAATTGAAAACAGGTGTTTGTAATTTACATTTTTATCAAGGACTCCGATATATTAAAAACTTCTTCTACATGAAGGAAATTCTTATACAGTACCTTTTTTTGACTCAGAATATTGATGATGATGAGTGTAACATTGAATTGATTTTAACTTTACATTCTATTGTTGATTATTGTAGTGAT